GAGACCCGGCCAGGCCACGGGGCGTCCCGCAGTACCACCGCCCACCGCCCCGTCTGCGTTCGCGCACCTTATTTTCAGCTCCTAACAACACAACCGACAGGGAAAAGGCATCAGTGCTCGGTTTCCAGCCACGGCAGTTCCAAAAGCAGATGTCTGTGCACTTCGCAGATCTGCCAGAGTCTTATTTTTCAAAATAAAATCATAGAACGGTTTGGGTTGGAAGGGACCTTAAAGATCATCTAGTTCTAACTCCCTCTGCCATGGCCAGGGACACCTTTCTTCCTTCCTGTCCTTACCAATTATGGACCTAATCAATAGCCTTGTTACGGACCCCACCACCCTCCTGCCGTTGCCATCAGAAGCCACTCGGCTTAAACGATCAAACTTTCCCAGTTAAGTATTTCAGCCACCAGCCTGAACGCAGGTGGTATTTAATGCGAGTTTAAGGCACAGGGAAGCTAATGACTGAACTCAACACTTTCTTCAAGGCAAACCACTGGAAATTTGCACACGTTTCTAAGTGTGCAAAACACAGCTTCCCTCCTAGCCGGGTTTCCTCACCGGCTGGCATTTTATCCGATACAACTGGAAAAAACTGAACACTGCCTTTTCTTAAGAATACAGATACCTGCAATTTATTGTAAACATTCGTCAACAATTCTAGGGATGCAACAGACAAGCGACATTCAAAATTTTGCAAAGTTTGGCCTCACACCAGCTGCTTCAACTCGCACAGCAGAGTGTTACGACAGATGAAGCCCATATGTACTCAACCGTACACGTTTCAAAAGCTTTTTTGGGGTTTGTTTTTTTTTAAAAAAAAACAGAGAAAAATGAGCAAAATTATCTCAACTACATGTCAATGTGCCGACAGCATTAGGACAAAAATTAGTACTAAAATAATAATGTTATGAAAGTTTTCAAATATACCAAGTACTGTGACGCACAAAACCAGGTGTGGCTTTCAGAGTACTACTCATAGTAACAAGCCATTACCAAAGCCAGTGCAATAAATGTTTCAGTTTCACATTTAGCTGAAACCCAAGTGTCTCTCTGAACATCCCAGACCCATCTGCTGGCAACCTAAAGGAAAGAAAAGAAAAAGCTACTTGTGAATCTATAAACAGCACAGTTTTCATATTTTTTTTAAAAGAACATACAGCATTACATAAATACTGACATAATTGCGTTACGAGAGTTATGAGTAGTAACAACTGCAAAATTACAGTGAAAACGAACAAGTCAATATACGTTCTTGCTTCACACTAAAGCTTCCACCCTGATAGATCCAGAAATCTCTACACCAAAAACTCAATTCTCTCTCACATCCACTTGTCAGCACTTTACTATACAGTAGCAGCAACCCTTCAAAAGAAAGGCGACTAGACATTAGTTTTGGGAACATACACAACTAACAAGTCACATACCCCACTCCTCCACCTCCAGCTTACTCCAGTCTACTTGTGACCGCTGACTGGGCTTCCAGTTTTTTTGATAAAACTGTTTTCAAAGCTAAAATGTGTGAATTGACTGCTGGAATAAACATATTCCTCATGGAAAAAAAAAAAAGTTAACTTGGACTGAGGAGCTGTAGGTTAAAACGGATTACTGGAACGGTCCTAGTACAGCTTCATACGCGGCGTTCTGTAGACAGCACCAGAACAGTGGGTCGACGCAGGCCCCTCGCGGACTGGCTCCATGGCTGATGCTGACAACCCTTCAAACATTGTTTCACATAACCCACCAGGTACGGTTTCATCAGGTTTTAAGAACTGGTGATGAACACTCCTAAATAGCAGTGCTCTCTAACACTCGGCAAGATACACAAAAACGTTCTGAATGCCAACAGGAGCTTGCAACACTTGCACATTTATATACAAACCAGGAAAGTCTAGTAGAATACTTTTCTTTCAGGTTGGCCCAGTTCAGATCACTAATGTTAATTTGTAGTCCTGGAAGTATGTGTGGTAGCAACTACAGGTGGAACAGTTTCTATCTCTTTCCTTGCCATCTGCTCCTTCCCATGTCATCCCACGCTACAACTACACAGCTTTTTGTGCTGAACGTGATGACCCACCTCAAGATCAAGGTAAATTCACCGCAGTCATGCAATTGTACTGCCACCACACATAACGGAAATAACTCATTGACACGGAAAAGCAGCATGGGCTGCTTACCACTGTTACTGAACTCAAAAAGAAGACAACCTTCACAGGGTTAGGTAGAATCACAGCAGTACCTTAAATTGTCACCTGGCATACTACTCCCCATTAAGAACCCAAAGGCTTCAAGACCACCTCCAGCTAGTTAAGCTGCGGAATGAGGATGAAGGCCTAGGAAATAGCATATACTTCTAAAAATAATTTTCCATTTGTGAAAGATATTATGAAGAATATGTTTGCTCACAGTTATTGCCTGACCCGCCTTTTCCACAATTAGCACTGATACCACATACTTATAACGGTCAAAGTTCAATTCCTTCACAGCCTTTAATATTTCTTCTGAGATCGAAGCGCACAAGGAAGGACTAGAAACTCCATCATATTTGGCTTGTTGAAGTGTATTCTATAAAAAAAAAATTTGAAAGATCTCAGTTTTCATCCTGGTAGTTCTTTGCAAAAAAACTTTTACAGTCATTTCCATTAAAAAAATATTAGAAGAACTAATGAGTAGAATAGCCAATATAGATGATGGTCTCTCTCCAACAGCTGCGCCATTTTTACTCTAAAATATTTTATCTATTTTTTTGAAAGTGACAAACACGTCCAGCCAATCAATCTCCATTTAACAAACAGGAATGTATTCTTCTCCATCATCTGGGCTCAGTTCACTGGAAAACAGTGCTACAAATACCTGTTCCAAATATCAAAGGCATGTCTTCCAGACAGCAGAATTACAGGAGTTGGTTACAACTACTGAAGGTATCATTAACAGCTACATATTATCTCAACAGATTGTTCTCCTTCATTTTTGCTTAATTTTTGTGTGTGGCAGTCAGACTGTCAAGGACACCAAGTATATTTTATATGCAGGCCATGTGATATTAGTAACTAATTGAAGGAGTAGAACTCCATAAATTCAATGTCAGGATCTTTGGGTAACTGGATACTTTGCACATTAGGGCACTTGGCGCTGTAGCTCAATTTGATTTAGAAATGGTTAAGAGTTTAAGAAGCTTCAGCTCCATCTTAAGAGCGCACACTCAGCAGTGACCTTGCAAAGGGCCTTCCGCACTTTGCAAAACAGAGCACATTCACATTACGTTTGTGTGCCAAAACTCGAAGTCTGAAAAGATTTATGCATAGGTTTAAGTTTCTGCAACTTACACTGTTCCATTAACATAACTTTTGTAAGACAAACTACTTTTTCAATAAAAACTTGACAATTAATTTAAAAAATACTATACCGTTAGTATTGCTTGAGCTTTGTCTCTTACTAAATAATCCCGAAATCTATTATGTGACTGCAGTCTGTATGTATTAGCATATCTTATCTTTGCCCTATTAGCTTTGAATGCCAATAGCTTAGCTTTCACTGAATCACCAAAATGCTCTTCTCCCATTGGAGCCATACCTAAAGCTTCGTAATTTGATTGTGTCCTTTTTCCTTTCGTCTGTGAAGAAACAATTAAAAAAAAGTCCACATCACATGTCAGTATTTCAGCATTTAACAGTCTCTAAATAATACTTTATAGTGTACAGTTTAGAGAAAAAAAACACAATTAGTCTAGGAATATTAATCAAAAAAAGCAGAAAAGCTAGAAAATAGATATCTTCTGGCTGTTTCTACACGATCGCTTTTACTGAGGGGAGGAAAAGAAAAGAGAACAGTACAGTAGTTAACTTCTGCTCTATTTTAACAACTTTTCCACTGAAATCCCAATGAAACTTGCATTTAAACTTGGTCAATTAGACACACCATACTAAGCGCTCTGAATCCACTCCATTTTCCAAGTAAAAACACACAGATATTAACATATGTTTCCAAGACTGTTAACCACAACTTCAAGCTTTTTATTCAGTCTACCCAAAACCCACAATATATGCTCGGTTCATTTACTACATAAATTTACTTGTCCTCATTCCTTGTGAAGCTACTAAACAAATGCCTTAGGTATTAATGACTTAATTTGCTCATGAATCAAAAAAAAAAAGAAAGGAAAAAAGCTCCAATTTGCAAGCTTTGTAATTTTGCTTGGAACTTAAAAACAGTAGTACTTCTTTTTATTTGTCATCACAACTCTGAAGATGTTTTCTCCCCATCTAGCTTCATTCTCTTCTATCATTCTCTTCAACATACATGACAAAATTTGGCCCTCTCTGAATGCAAGCAGCAAGTCTGATGATGCACACAAAACATGTCACCTGCTGTCCCCCATGGCTGGCTAAAAACAGAACTGTAAAACATTAACAAAACAAGACAGAGACAGAAAAGCACACAGAACCAATGAGATCATAACAAATGCTACAGACAGTGGTATTCCACACCAGCTACCACTTTCAAGTTTTGCTGATTCTTCAACCCCTTGCTCCACTTCCTGACTACAGCTAGAAGTTAGGTGAGAGAAAGTCATCAGTTCCTTCTCAGAAGTGCAGAAAAGAGCATCAAAGCGATAACACTACAGTGCAAGGCTTCCACTAAGAAGTATAGAAAAAAATCATACACTTAGGAATAATATAAAAGTTTAGTGAGAATTATTTGAAGATGTACTATTCAGGGGCTCGTAAATTTTTCAGTCAGAGAAGTTTGAGAATAAAGGAAGCAATACAGTTTCTTCTCTACGAAATCACTTACACATTAGCCCTGTCAACACTGCGGCCATTACCTGCATCTCTCCTCTGGTTTCTTAGACAATTCTGTTAAAAAACAGTGACGTTGGCAGCCCTCGTGCAAATTGGCTGCAGCGAATAGTTGCTTTTGAGTTAAAGACACAGTTCTTGCTCATTTCTTCAAAAGGGGGCACACCTTCTCCTAACTTACAGAATTCACAGTAGCACCTTAAGTTGGAAAGCCAGCACTACCGTTGCCTTCTTATCAACTTCACGAGGCTCTAACAACTTTGCCCCCCAACGCCAAAAGCGGCACACCAGCTACAAGGTGAACGCGAACATGACACCCGACCAAGGAGAACGGGGACAAGCTATCGCAAGCCGGATGGGTAAAACTGACGGGGACGGCATTTCTGACACCACTTTTCACAAGATCACACTCACCTTTTCATCACACACCGAGCCCCACGTTCTTCCACACGCTGTCCCTACCGCTA